ATGAAAAATGAAAATCCACTTATGGAGAATCGAACCGAGTACCACGATAACTGTAATCAAACGTATTACGAGCTACACCATTTCCGCCCTCACACCTGCCCTTCTTATTTAACTTATTTCAAGACATATTACCCGCGCTAAATTATCATCGCGAAGAATATCTCATAGCTCGAAATCCTACTGAAATTTTAACTCCCTTCTTACATAATCGATATGCGTTCACCTAATTAAATTACAGCACAAATAATTACGTTCCAATATCAAAACCAAAAGGAACGAAACGAAATGTTACGTCGACTCCAGCTCGACACAGGACCACGAAGGGTTAAACTTACATCTGCATACGTCGATATGCCGCGTTATAGTTCGTTCAAGAGACATAATCCAACGCTCGTTAAAACAGTAGCAAAGATATATCGAAGAATCGAGGCACGAGTAATCTGAATACATAATCTTCCACTTCTGGCCCAGCCCTCTCGAGGCTGAAGATGGCTGTAACCCTGAAAACAGGGTCGAATATATTATTTTTATTGTTTCCAAGCACCGGGAGACTGTGTCTAAAGTAGGCACAGCATCGATAGAGGATAGACCTGGGCCGTGTATTCGAAATTCCGAGGCGAGTTTCCACCGAGCTACGTGCCTCTTCACCGAGCCAGTCTGATACCCTGATGGCCCATTGTCGACGGGCTTTTGTCTAGAAACTCCCGAGCTACTATGAGAGTATGACGAGCCACCGGATCCAGAGATACCCATCAGAAGCGTTTACACCAGAGATTACTCGTGGCGTGGCTCCGAGCGACGCTTCTTTCCATCCGGCCAGTCGATAGATCTCTCCACCCCCTGCACTCCCCTTTCTCTCATTTTTTCATCCTCCGCGCCGCGGAATTTCAGGCCTCGTCGACGGACAGAGAGACCTCGTGGTCCATCGAACAAAGCCATTGATCGAACCCGTGCCTTCTCTCGGATACGCTTTTCCAGGGGATCGTCGGCAAGCGTTCTGCTTCGATTATCCCGCGATTTACTAGCTTCTCGGCTCGTTCGAGGAGACGCTGCAAAAGGACTCGCGTAGGTGCTCTCGATCGCTCGTCTTTGTCTCCTTATCGTTTCGTCTTCGCTGTAAGCGTGTCTCTTCTTTGACGTTCATGGGCCGAATTTCGAGGGTCGCTTTCGAGGATGCGAGGGTGTGTTCACTCGGAGGCTCTCAATTCGTTGAGCAGTCTCCAATGGATAGGAGATTTAGATACCAGTGGATTGAAATTTTCTACTTAATTGGGGACAGAGGCGTCTAGATTAAATTGACAACCCTAAATATTTTTTCACATTTTATCAGAGCTTTATCTGCTCGGAAAATAATTCAAATATAATATCGAGGTAAATACAGGGACACTGGTTACTGAAAAATTTGCAGAAGTGGAAGAGCCCGTATTTGTGAGCACGAAAATGGGGGTTATTTGAGGGATGTTGATTGTTAGAAATCTATCTATTATATTTACAAATTAAAAAATGAAAAATTAAGAAGTTATTTATGATCTTGTATCACTTTTAATGACCACCTTGTATAAGTTGTTTTAAATTACCGTGATTGGTATAACAGATATTCGAGCAGGTCACTGTTTCACGGTAAGAGTAGCTAGAAATTTCGATCAACCTTTCGAACCTCCACTTCAGCTCCTTCCTTCTCTCGGAAGAAGAGTTTCTCGAAAATTGCGATATAAATTGTTTAAGTGATATTTCGAGACGGCACTCGAGGCAGGTTAACCTCGTTTATAAAACACGCTAATATTGTTGAAAGTTTCACTATAACCCAGCGATCCGCCGTAATCTCCGCGAGTCGGTTCCAAGTTAAATTAAATAACGCGCCGGATCTCGCGGAATTTTCGCCGCTTTGGTAAAAATCGCGACAGAAAAAGGAAGGTATTTATTCCTCGGCGAAGCAGGCTAACCGGAAGCTGGCCTTTTCGATTCGAGGCAGCGATCCACGATGCTGCGAATGCTCGATACAAATTCGAAATTATGCAAGTCAGGCGGAAGAACGACCCTCGAACGAGGCGGCACGGAAACACGGGGCTTATAAACGATAAGTGACGAAGAACCCTTCGAATAATTGAGAACAAAGATCAAAGATATCCGACCCGTTGCACCGGGGGAACACCTCTCCGGCATCAATCGCAATCGACAGGAATCGAATCGAAACGAATTTTAAAGAAATCGTGAATTCTGCTTCTTATTTTATTACTGCTTCTCGAATTTTGCTTTTCCCGTTTACGAATCTTAGAAAGATCGTGGGATCCTTGAATCGTGGGGTTAAAACACCCTTTATACGCGCCTGCTTATTATTTTTGACGCGAGAAATAAGAGTAAAAATAAAAATGGAAATAGATGGTATCGAAATACGGTATTTCTAATATTTTTGTGAAAATATTTCCAAAAGTCTCTCGTTTTATTTACGAATCTGAGAAAGATCGTGGGATCCTCGAATCGTGGGGTTAAGTCACCCTTTATACGCGTCTGCTTATTATTTTTGACGCGAGAAATAAGAGTAAAAATAAAAATGGAAATAGACGGTATCGAAATACGGTATTTCCAATATTTTTGTGAAAATATTTCCAAAAGTCTTTCGTTATATTTTAGAATCTCAGAACGATGGTGGGATTCTTGAACTTCGGGGTTAAATCACCCTTGTACGCCTCTGCTTATTATTTCTGAAGTAAGAAATAAATGTGAAAATACTTTTTATGAAAATATTTCCAAAAGATTCTCGTTTTATTATTTACGAATCTTAGAATAATCGTGAGGTCTTTAAATAGCGTTCTATGGTGACCCATATTGGTATTAAGCCCAATTTTCCCTAATTTTCCAGCGTGCGAATGAAAATAAAAATAGAAGCTATCGAAATAAAGCATCTCGAAAATATTTCTAAAAGATTCTCGTTTTATTATTTACGAATCTTAGAATAACCGTAATGTCTTTAAATAGCGTTCTATGGAGACCCATATTGGTATTAAGCCCAATTTTCCCTAATTTTCCACCGTGCGAATGGAAATAAAAATAGAAGCTATCGAAATAAAGCATCTGGATTTTTTTTAATGGAAATATTCTCTTCAGAATTCGCAATTATTCGTTGCAAATTACGATACAAGGAATGGTGAATATTTACTTGTTGAAAGTAAAAAAGAGGATATATGTGTAGCCATAAATCGAGTTGATTTAAAGCTGTAAAACGCTGGAAGCTGTTCGTCAGATAACACTTATCGAAGGAAATCGTCTGCCCCACCCCATATAATCTAGCTGAGAGCCCGGCTGGTATTTGCGATCGATGGGGTGGCTCTTAAGGTCACTCATATATACAAAACGACCACGATCGATTGCGCACCAATGGGCAGCATGATTTAACACTGATTTTTAGCCGTGATCAGGCACGTAGCCAATGAATCGTGTTTAGGGAAACGTTCCAGAATTGAAGATTTCGATTCTGTATCGGCATCAAATGCGGCAGTTACAAACCCGGCCATTACCAGACTAAAGTCTACGGAAGCGAGATTTCCATTAAACCGCGCAAACATATACGTGGAAGCGGGATTTTTCACCAAACGAATCTCAATGACTCGATTTAAAATTCAAGAAAACCGATGTTTAATTCAAGAGAGTGGCTAGTGACAACAGAGCAGACCAACTTTCACTGTTGAAACAACAAGCGGCTGTAAAATTCGCAATTCTTGTTCCCGATCCGAAGCCCGAAGATTATTCGAATCTTACATAACTCGAACACGCTTTGCGTAAATGTGAATACTTGAATTTAAAGCGGTTCATATTCGACACGCAATTTATATACATAATACAACGCTCTCGACGCGATGAAATTCCTTTAATTGATCGTGATACGAGCGTCACACTGGATCAGAATAATGCATTGGATCATGAATGTAATAACGTTGTCGACGTGCATCAACATTTCAAAGCGTCCAGGGCTCTACAAACGCGTGTGAAAAGATTCAAATTTCACCGAATCAAATTTCCCAAAAAGAATTATTTAATCCACCAATTGAAAAAATTTTGGGACCATAAATTCTTAACTAGACTGGTCTAAATCTATCATTTTCATAAAGTTATGGTTTATTAATTATTAATTACTATTAAAAGAAATAAAAATAAATTCAAATTTCACCGAAACAAATTTTCCAAAAAGAATTATTTAATCCACCAACTGAAAAAATTTTGGGACCATAAATTCTTAATTAGACTGGTCTAAATCTATCATTTTCATAAAGTTAGAGATTATTAATTATTAATTATTATTAAAAAAGAATAAAAATAAATTATATAAAATTCTTTTACTTATTAAATTTACTATTAATATACTTAATAGGTCCCTCTGTGATAAAAGACAAGTAACAAGTAATCCAACTCTAATTGTAAGGAGATATACATATCAAGTACTCAAATACTCCATGACAAAAGCCAGGAAAAGAAGCAATAATTTGCTTTTTGAATTTTGGCACTTAAAAAAATATCTACATCCCATTTTGTAAAATTGATCGATCTGTCAAATGAATAACGACGTTCCTCAAAACAACAAAGGACATAAAAATTCGAGAATGGTAACTTCGTTTCTGGCTTCCATCGATGAGTGTATCCATCAATAAGAACACTTCAGAGTCTTGATACGCTTTATTCAAGAATCCACGATTGAAACAGTGTGTAATGACAATGGCTTAACTGTTAGACCCCGATTCTAGGACTGGCTTTACCTGGGACCAGGAAGGTCCCATAAGGGACCTTCTCCAAAACAGGGAAAAGCCACGTAGGTATTTCCCAATATCCAGAACAGAGGCTAACAGAGTCTAAGCCAGTATGACGTCGTTGATGCCACCATTATCCACTTAAGAAATCAAGCAAGGATCACGGAAATCTACCGCGTGAGAATCGGCATGCAACGAAGACACGTGTCTTCTCGTTACGTAAGTACACTTCCGGTACGGAAAATGAAAGTAGAAACTCACTTTGAGGGCCTCCTCGTGGGTCACCGCCCGGAAGGGTGTGCCGTTCACCTCCAAGATGGTGTCTCCTGGCCTGAGTCCAGCGCGTTCGGCCACCGAACCTTCCTCCACCCTCGAAATGTAGACACCCACCCCTGAGAACAATTCACAGACTTTCCATCAGGCCGGAAGCTGCCTGGCGACTGGTCCACGACCAGTGCACGCTAAAACCTTCCACCCAGGGCGCGTCCTTTCCAACTTTCTCGTGCATCTGCACCCCAAATGCACCCACGGCTGAGGAGAGCTCGATGGACACGCGGCGGCGTTTGAGAGAAAAACGGGAGCACTTAAATAAATTATATCTTCTACGTCGGAGCAAGATCGATAAAGATATCGCGGGGATTTATGGATCCGTGGAATGTTCCGCTCTTTTATCCGGGGCTAGGTTTTTTCAGAGATACTCGGTCGCGGGGATGTCGGAGAGGTTAGAGTATTGCGAATTTATTACAGGATAGGTGCGATTTAGCGCCTGCCTACAAATCGTTTGGGTGCCGGACTCGCATAAATCGAACGTTTGCTCCAACTATTAATTAATCGCGCTAATCCTAGCATATAATTGAACCGATGGAGCCAATCTCCGCGAAATTCGGCAGCCAGATAAACTGTCCATAACTGGGTCGCGTTGTATCGGCTACTCGAACACGTCAAAACAACGCTTCTTTCGCGATTTGGGCAACGATATTGTATCGATGAGAGAGAGAGAGAGAGAGTTTCTGAGAAAAACTTTGAATTTTTCGGGGTAAGTTAAGACAAGAATGATTGGTGTGTTCAGAGATCGCGTTGAGAAATGTTTTTCCACGGAGAGTGAAAGAAATATCGCGGTATTCTGAATTCTTCAGCTGCAATTGAAACCATCGCGATCTCGTCTTTCTAATAAAATTTTTTAGATTTCGAAATTCAAAATTCCGAGTTTAGATTTAAAAATTGGGAGTTTAAAACTTCGAACTACGAATACAGAACTCTGAATATAGAACTCAGTGTTCAGAATTCAGAACTCTGAATATGGAACTCAGTGTTCAGAACTCAAAGCTCAGAACTCAATGCTCCGAATTTAGAACTCCGAATTTTAAACTCAGTATCCAGAACTCAGAGCTCCGAATTTAGAACTTTGAATATAGAACTCAGTGTTCAGAACTCAGAGCTCAGAACTCAGTACTCCGAATTTACACCTCTGAACACTGAACGCAGAATTCAGAGCTCCAAATTTAGAACTCAGTGTTCAGAACACAAAGCTCAGAACCCAGTGCTCCGAATTTAAACCTTAGAACTCTGAATTCAAAATGCAGAGCTCCGAATTTAGAACTCAGTGTTCAGAACACAAAGCTCAGAACTCAGTGCTCCGAATTTAAACCTTAGAACTCTGAATTCAAAATGCAGAGCTCCGAATTTAGAACTGAGTGTTCAGAACTCAAAGCTCAGAACGCAAAGCACCGAATTTAGACCTTAGAATCCCGAACTCAGAATTCAGAGCTTAGAACTAAGAAATCGCAACTTTGAACTCTGAACTTAGATCTTAAAACTCTGAACTTAGAATTCACAACACCGAACTCTGTGCTCAGAACTTCGGAAATTTTTCCACGGATCCACAGCACTCCAGCGATTAACAAACCTATGTCCGACAACCAAAATTCAAAAGGGAGAAAGAAAACAATTATTTAAATTAAAAAGAGAGATAGACTACGAAACAGGAATATCAGAATCCACGAAGCACCGTGATCTCGAAGCCCAGGGCAGTAGCCATGATCTCCACGACTCGCGGTGGTATGACGAGTCGTTTTCGTGACTCCATAAATCGCGGCTGAGAGAAATTGATCGATTAGAATGCAAGAGGGTGGGTCGTTCGTGAAACGTGACGGCGTAAAGCTCCCATTTTTGCACGCGGCCGTCGCCTCCGCGCATCCCGTGGAAACGCCATGGGTAGAAATCGGGTTAGGTTCTCGTGTTGTAGAATGAAATAGAAAGGTAAGAGGAGCAGCGTCGAAGAGAGGGGCACAAGAACAAGACGTGGAACAGAGAAGAAGAGGGGAACAAGGGGGGACGGTAAAAATGCGGATGCACAACAGTGAAACTGCTGGAAAAACAGAGATTGCGATTCTGTGCCGGTGCGTGTTTTCTCTCGTGTCTCTCGCAACGTGATGTTGAGGGGGCATGCAAACGATTTTCCCGCGGAAATACGCTCGATTAGGATCGTTGCTGATCTGCTAGGTGAGAAGAATACGGGAAATGAGAAAATAGATCGCTTAGACCTCGAGATCTTGGATTTTCTCAAGCAAAATACCGTAGAACCTCGACTATCCGAATTATTTCACAGATAAATTATTGATTCACAGAATATTATACTATTTTTCATCGTAAAACATTTTTATATGACAAAATAAAAGATAATAAACGATACTTTCATTCCAGAAATTGCAAAATTGTGAATTATCTCTAATATTTATTTCTTTTCGATATTCTATGAATTATAACTCAGCACTCAATTTTTATATTCGAACAATTGATCATTTACACGGTGAAAAATCGCATAATCGATGCTCTTGGCTTTCTCTTCAACGTTTAAATCGACCACTCGCGCTATTTCCGCAGAAAAGAAGATGCTATGACGCAAAGTGCATGGCCGAGTCGGTGAATATTCGTCGTACGATACTTTCCGAGCTCGTGCAACGGGAATTCACGAAAGCATTAATCAGATGCATGTTCCGTCCGATTAAACGTGTTCCAAGGACCCACTTGACCAGCGAAATCCGCGACGTCCATGCTCGTTCGAGCGTGTGGTTGCTCGCGCGACAAATTGCTCGATGGACTCCTCTCGCTCGTGACATTTCTTCGTACAAGAGCTCCGCGAGAGGTTGCCATTCGTGTTCGAATTTCCGTTTAAATTTACCTTCGGCACAAAGTTCGACCACGTGGATAAATCATTTCCCGAACACCGTCGGAAAATTCCCTCTAGCCGAAAAGTCATCTCGCGATTCGATTCGATTTCTCGGGGAAAATTTGGAAAATTATTCGAACGAGAAGACGTCGATTATCGGAAATAATCGATGAAAAGTGCCGAAGCTTGCACGTGCTGCAAGCAGGGACGTTGAAGAATAAGGCAGATCCTCGTTAGCCCGGACTAATTAGGCAAAAGTTCTAAGTAACGGGACCGTGGTTGATGAGGTTCCAAGGCGCGTATGCCTCGATGCATTATACATTACACAAATTAGCCTGCAACTTAGCAGCGATCAAACTGAGCCAAGCGTTTACGCTATCTTTTGTATCATTTTAATTGAACGCCGCGCAGGATTGTGTTAATTAGCTCATTAACCGGTATCTAAAATCGCCGAGCACGTCGTAAATCTGCCTCCGTTCTCTGTTACGCGAAACCACGCAATGCAACTTTCCTCCATGTTGGTTCGCGCAAAAAGAAACGAAAGAGAGAGAGGGAAAAACGAAAGGAAAAAGAAAAACACGAGAGGGGAAACAAAGAAAAAAGAAGAGATAGAAAGGAAGGAAAATAAAGAGTAGAAACAAAGGTAAAAATGAAAGAAAAATTACGCAGCGAGTTCTCGGATCGAGAGAGACCAGGCCCGTGTCTAGAGCCCGGGCACCCGGCACGTGGCGTCGTAAGAGAGGGAATAAAATATTAAAAATATAACTGGAAAAGGACACGGAATTATACTTGCAAAGCACGAGCACCATGAATACTTAATTCACGAGATATTTGTCCGCGACACGGAAGGAAACGCGGTCACGTTGTTCAAGGAGAGCAGATACAATCGATAACAGTTCGCGCGAGCAACGGAAGCGAAAAAGGTGGAAATAATTGGAAGAAAAATCGCGCTCGAGCAAGATGGACGTTGTCTGCAGAAAGCCGGTGTCCTGTCCGGCCGGCAGTCGATCTCCTTGCGAGGATTAATCCGGCTGATGACAGAGATAAGAGGAACAACGAGCTCGTTACTCGAGGCTCGCGTTGTCCCTGCCGAACTTGTGTCGTCGAGGCTTGATAAAACTCCTCGTCGTGTCACGAGCCCATTTAAGAACAGATTTCCGCCTCGAGGATGCACCCTGCGCCACTCTGGGACGGGGCGAAAAATCGCGGAAATCCGACTGCCTAAACACCCGCGGAGTAATCTCAATTTTCTACCAAACTTTTTCAACTTTCTTCCAACTCTGATACCAATTTCCTTCATCTTCCTTCCTAACTTTTCCCAATTTTCGTCTCTCCCGAGGGACAAACAGATGCTTGGAATACCGCGAGATGGAGGAGTAATCGGAAGGCATTTAACCCTCCGATTTCGTTTTATAATTCACGATGTACCCTCTGCTATTTAGCTTCTCGGAATTTCTTCGTTCTCGACTCTCCGCTCCTTAACCCGACCCGCAGTGAACCTTAAATGGGCCTCGTTTGACACTTTAGAATTCCGCGTTTCCCCCGTTTGGCAGGGCGTAATGGAAATTACGTGCGAGGTACGTATGTGTACGGGGAGAGACACGCTCGTGTGTGCGCGTACGTGGTACACATAGGCGTGAGTCGGTGTGTACGGCTTTCTTCTAGAAATTCATAAACTATGCGCATATGCATCATACACTGTCATGCAACGAAACGCCGGCGTGCTAAGCCTAGAGGAATCCTCGGCTACCATAATTGCGAGATCCTCGCGATAAATCGTCGGAAGAACGAAGCGGCCAGAGAAAGGATTTTGCCTTTATGAACATTATGAACATTCCAACCTTCGGCATCCTGTGTCGTGGGAAAATGATCCGATTTCCATCTTCATTTTTACGTCTTTTGCTTTTTAACACTTTGACTGCCACGTTGGTCATGTATGACCGGTGATGGTTTCTCTTGTGACGCCACGGTGGACATTGGTCATTGGAGTGCTTATATGCTTTAAATAATAAAAACACTTCCGTGGCGTCCTCAGTGAAACGTATGATTTCCGCATGACAGTCAAAGGATTAACAAAGACAGACCTTATTCTTCGTTGTTGGTCCCGTATTACTCAAAATTCGGGAACGATGTGGAAAAGTAGATTTTATAACCCTCTCTTTCCTGGCAAAATGATTCGATTTCCATCCACTCTGCTATTGTAAAAATTAAATGAAAATTGAC